CTCTCAGAGAAGAAATCTGATGGATTCAGCTGACCCTACCAGGACAAGCTATTTCATGCTTCACTACCAGCCAACAAATTGATTCTTCCTATATCAAGTGACAATGCATAGTCCAATTAGTAAATGAATCTACTCACAAACAGTACAGCACTGTTTGTGGGGCAGTTTTGTTTAGAAGGGGAGATTGGGCATAGCAGATACAATAACCAACCTATTCCACAGCAGCCTGGTTAGCCACATCAGTTAAGTCAACTTCAGTGAGTTGGAGCCTGGAATAGTCCCAACCATTGGAGTAGACCAGACATTGAGGACAGAAATCCTCATTTGGAAGGACATTTCTTCTAAAAGATACAGTAACTAGGGGCTGTGGTAATATGCAATGGGATCAACACAGTGGGCTTTGGGTTTATATTGAGGGGAATTTAGTGTTAAATGATGTGGCATTTGGTATGTTTGTTGCAAAACTGACTATGGCCTGATACTCTGTGAGTATCTTGAAAGTCTGAATCATGTCTTACCCATTTTTATTTACCAAGGGCCTGGAACGGATTCAAAGGTAAAAAAAGAGTTTATTAAACTGAACTAAATTCCTTAATATCTATTTAGGTCTACCCCCTCCTCCTTTTTCTTCCCCCCATCACCCACGCTGGAATGCAGTGGTGCAATCTTGGCTCACTGCAACCTCTGCCTCCTGGGTTCAAGTGATTCCTGTGCCTCAGCTTCCTGAGTAGCTAGAATTACAGGCATGCACCGCCATGGCCAGCTAATTTTTGTATTTTTAGTAGAGACAGGGTTTCACCATGTTGGCCAGGCTGGTCTTGAATTCCTGACCTCAAATGACCTGCCCTCCTCAGCCTCCCAAAGTGCCAGGATTATAGACATGAGCCACAGTCCCCAGCCTTGGTCTACCCATCGTTCCCAGCTGGCAAGCTCCTTGAAAAGAGGGCTATGTCCTATTTATCTTGTTGTCACCCAGTTAACCTAGCACAGGGCATGACAAGTAGTGGGTGCTCAATAAATGCCTGTTGAATATGTTTTTCTAAAGCACACCACACATACCTCTCTCAGTTATCTATTTTCTTTGAAGCTCAGTCTCCTTGTCTCTCTTTTTAAAAAACTTTTAAGTTCAGGGGTACAAGTGCAGGTTTGTTACACAGGTAAACTTTTATCCTGGGAGCCTGTTGTAGAGATTATTTCCTCACACAGGTATTAAGCCTAGTACCCATTACTTTTCCTGATCCTCTCCCTCCACCGACCCTATACCCTCTGAAAGGCCCAGTGGGTTCTCAGTTATTTCAAATACCCCAAGACTCTTACATATTCATGAGAATATCAATTCCGGAGTCAACTACCCAGATACAAATCCAGGTCTACTACTTACTAGCCATGTGACCTTGAACAAGTTATTCACTGTACCTGAGTCTCATTTTTAAAGTGGGAATAATAATATCTACCTTATAGGGCTGTGGTGTATACTGAGGGAATTAATACATAGTAAAGTGTTTACCCCAGTGCCTGACAGATAATAAATGCACACCTAAATTTGTATTGTGCATATTTTCTCTCGTGTACAAACATACTCTACAAATAGTTCCAAATATACATGCACCAATTCAATAGTTATTTTTAACTCCTGATTTGTTTATCTGGAGTGACTTCAAAACTTTTGTTTCAAAACTCTCCTTTGTTTCAAAACTCTAAATTAATGATAATTTCCTCAGAAGAACCAGCAGGTCCCAAGATACTGCTCATGAGCTGACGTAGACCCTCTTGCTCATGAGTAAAGGTCTTCTTTGTTTTCTTATTTCTTTTATAGCTTCTCCTGAATGTTATTGTCTGTGGCAGCCAGCAGACAATCTTCCAGGGACTCCTGCCATACTCTGCAATTATATATGTCATTTGGGCACCAAATCTGGCCACATGACTGCTCCTGCATCTGGCATGCCCCTGTACATCCTGACCCTAATGATATCCAAATATTGGCCATGCTGGGCATGGCTATAATGAAGAGAAGAAAGAGGATGATGGTAGAGAAGAAAAATAACCTATTCTGAATTTTAACCTGAGTTCCAGGTCCTGTGCTAATGGCTTCATAGAGATGAATGAGACATGGAGCCTCCTGTGTGGAGCTCACAACGTGATCATGATGTGGTAAGCATTTTGGAAACAAGCCACAACACAGAAGCTAGCACATTTTGTTCTATTGATAGGATCACCTAAGACTTCACAGGACAGATGGCACTTGATCTGGGCCTTCAAGGTTGACCCATGCATGTGACCAATCATTCACTTTGTCATTCATTCATTCTTCCATAGTTCAAGTACCATTTTTGTGTTGGGCTTTTGGCTAAGCACTGGGCATACAGAGATAATCAAACCTGATGTATGTATCCATTCACACAGCCTGATGGTGGGGAGGGGAACACGCAAATGACTATTATATACAGTATCACATTACGATGGTAGAAATTAGTCACATTCAAGGTGCAATTGGATCATTCATGGAAAACATATCCAAGTCTGCATGTGAGGATTAAGAGAGTTGTCATAGTAAAACATGGGTTAAATTAATATTAAAATAAGTCAATCACCAAGTACCTTCTTGTGCCAGGCATTGTACTCCATACTTTACATGTATTAACTGACTTAATCTCCATAATAACCAGAAAAGGCAGGGAACACTCTCTCCTTCGTAAAGAGAAAACAACTGGAAACTAACAAAGGAGTTAAGTAATTTGTCAAGGACTGTGGGCAGGATGGGAAAAGTCAGTATTCAGTGTATCGAGAAGCCAGTATCAGGTCTACTTGATGCCAAAATTTTCACTCTTAGCAGTTGTCGATATTGACTGTGTTTCCCCGAAACCTGGGGGAGACCCAGGGTAAAGAGAATTCTAGGCAGAACGAATGTCACATACAAAGGCAGAGAGAGGTGGAGGAGCCCGCAGATTTGGAAACCAACCAATGAATGCTGCTGCCGGTGGAGAATGGTTTGGGTGGGAATGAAAGCTGAAGGACATAACACAGGAGAGGTGGCAGGTAATCTGGTAGAGGGTAATTTTTGCTACACTTAAGAGTTTAGGTTTTATACTGTACACAGGGTGGCAGGGAAAGGTTTCGAGCAAGAACAAGCTAAAACCAGATCTGACCATGGAAAGATGGACTGGGGCAGGTGCTAGGACCTTTGAATGCCAAGCACAGGAGTGTTTGCAGTTATGCGTAAAAGCATTGGCAAGAGTTAAAAGAAATCCTCTTTTGCCTCTCTCTGCCTGTCAATCTAACCCGCTGAAATGGAAGGTTTTTGAGTTTATTTGATTTTGGAAAATGATATATTCTTTATGTTTTTTTTTTTCCTCTCTATCTTCATTTTCCCCCTGGACTGCATATCATTGCATGTAGTGGCCTGCAGGTTCTCGGTTTTCACTGAGAAACGTACGTTTGGGGTTGTTGGGCCTGTAAAACATGAAATTAACCAGTGTCATATCTTTCACGCCCTCCTCCCTGCTCACCCAGGAGCCCAAATTAAATTTCACACTGAACAATCTGAGCAGCTGCCATACTCCACAGACAACCAGCACACAGTTTTGATGGCCACTAGGTGGACGTCTCTGTCACCAGGCTCTAGGTCAACTCTGGAGCCTCTTTTATGATGGCAACATACAGCTGATACTGGACTTGGTTTAAAGCTGCTATAAACTCCCCCAGGACCAACACAATCCGTCCCTGAGTGCCTGAGTGTTTGCATAGCCATTCACAGCTTGCAAAGCAGCATCCATGCAAGCCCATAGAGCAGGGAATGTTTTATACACATCTTGAAGCCTGGGAAACCAAGGCTTGGAGAGGTAGTGAAGGCCACACAGTGAGGTCAACACACTCTCCACCAGGCCAGTGGCCTTTCAGGCACATAGCAACTCGCTGTGACATCTTCAAATAGGAGGCTTGTAAAGCTAGCAAGAAAAAAAACCTAAGAAAAAGTCTGTTACTTGGTAATTTCCTAAAAGTGGAAATTGTCACTATTTTCTCTTTCAACTTCCCCCTTGTTTTGGTCCCCATCTTCTATTTAAAAATTTTAGGAGCCCTAAAATCATTAATCCCATGGCCTTTATAGTATCTTTCTCTTTCACTGTCTCTAGGTCTGACTCAGCAACACTTCTGAGACCCTGACTCTACCAACCTGTACTCTTCATCCATAATTTGTTTATTCAGAACATCCATCTGTTCAAGTCTTTTCCATCTCAGCCCCTGCTAAAATTTCTCATCTACAAAAATGTATTTTCTTGTCCTCATCATAATTAATCTCTCCCTATGCCACAGTCCTATAATCTTCTTATAATACGTCTACTAAAGGTTTCCATGTATTTCACCCTGTAGCCACACAGCCCAAGGCCAGAGGCTTTCTTAGTTCATGTTGGATCTCTATGCAAAGCAATGTTTTGCATACAAGTTATGGGTGTATGCTTTACTTGACATACTAAATCAAAAAATATTACTGTGCTTCATCTTTCAGTGTCTGAGTGAGAGCATCTAAATTGGTTTAAGAGATTACCTTAGTATGGACAGTTAATCTCATAAAGCACCCTGGAAAATGCATCTGATAGGTGCTAATTAGTAATGTTTCTCCCAGGCTTTGTTTACATTTTGTGTTGCCTACAGCACAGTAAGTTGGCAAACTTTGGGTGAAGGGAGATTCCAGGTGAAGAAAAGAAGAAAAGCCTTTCCAGCAGTGAAGAATAATGGTATCGAAAGGCATTATTTTTTTTAGTTTATCGAGTTCAAAATGTAATGCCTTCCACATTTTTCTCCCCCAAATAAATTTGTTTTCAATTGCTGTTTGAGCTTCTTCTGAGGCAAAGCAGTCAGTACATAGTAAAGCATGCCCTCTCATGATGGAATCTCATTGTGAGACAAACTTCCTTAATCAAGCTTAAATTTGCTTGCTTGCTTTTTTTTTTTTTTTTTTTTTTTTTTGAGAGGAAGTCTCGTTCTGTTGCCTAGGCTGGAGTGCAGTGGCAAGATCTCCACTCACTGCAACCTCCTCCTCCCAGGTTCAAGCGATCTCTTCCCTCGCCCTCCTCCCAGGTTCAAGCGATCTCTTCCCTCGCCCTCCCGAGTAGCTGGGATTACAAGCACCTGCCACCACACCTGGCTAATTTTTGTATTTTTTAGTAGAGGCGAGTTCCACCATGTTGACCAGGCTGGTCTCAAACTCCTGATCTCAAGTGATCCACTTGCCTCAGCCTCCCAAAGTGCTGGGATTACAGGCATGAGCCACCACACGCAGCTTGCATTTCTTCCAAACAATTATCCAGGTTCAGCCCTTAGAAATTTCACAGAACAAGCCTACGTAGTCCTTCCAGGACACACAGTGTTAAATATCTAAAGACAACTCTCATGTTTTTCTCATTTTTTAATTTTCTTTACCTGTTCTACAGAACTTTACATTGACTTTCAGAAAGAAGAAGGAACTTCCCCAAGTGCTATGGTCTGAATGTCAGTCGCTCCCCCAAATTCATATGTTGGAACCTAATATCCAATGTGATAGTTAGGAGTTGGACCTTTGGGAAAGGATTAAGTCATGATGACTCTCCCCCCATGAATGGGCTTAGTGCCCTTATGAAATAGGATTGAGTGAAATCCCTTGCTCTCCTGTCACATGAGGACTCAGTGAAAAGGTGGCATCTCTGAGGAACAGACCCTCACCAGACACTGAATCTATGGATATCTTGATGTTGGACTTCTCAGTTTCTGAACTGTGAGCAATAAAGTTATGTTGTTTTTAAACTTCCCAAAGTATATTGTTATAGCCATAGAAACAAACTAAGACACCAAGATAACAGAAAGAGCCAGAACCATTATTCTGGTAGCCTTTCCATTATACTATGAAGAGTGTGATATTTTATGTGCCAAGAGCTCACATGGCTAGGCTATATTACCCAGTTATAAAATTAAACATTAATGTAAGTGCTTCTATGAAGGTATTTAGTAGATGTGGTTAACATGTGCAATCAATTGATTTCAAAGGAGAGCATTCTCCAAAACCTGAGCCTCATGCAATTAGTTGAGAACCTTAAGAGCAAGACTAAGGTTTTTTCAGAGAAAGAAGAGACCCCAACAATTGACTGTAGTTTCTATACAAGAATTTCTAGTCTGCTGGCTTTTCCAGTAGAGAGAGAGAGAAAGAGAGAGATACGTGTGTGTATGTGAGAGAGAGTGTGCGTGTCCTACTGACTCTACTTCTTTAGTTTGCTTTTGCTGCTTCTGTACTTAAATCCTGATTGATACAAGGAGCTTCACTGAAAGACTTTAGTATATGGGAGGAGGATTTCAGACCCCAAGACAGGACTGAAAGTGGAGACATTTACAGAAAGAGAGCCTTTGACTCCTCTTACCTGCTGCTATGGAAGAAGCCGCTCCCTCTAAGCCCAAGGCCGGCCATAGCCACATGGCTGGGATAGTGGCTGCCTTGCCTCAGAACTGAGTCCACGCACTCATGAGAGTGTGAGCACAGGAGGAGCCATGCCCTTCCCGTGCTCTCAGGAGAGAAGCCACTCTAGCTCCTGCACAAGCAGGCTTTTGGCTCTTCCTTCTGGTGCACCAGACTGCATCTGGGAGAAAGAGAAGGCCAGACTGCGTTCCTCCCCTAGGCTAATTAGATATATCAGATGCAGGTGACACTTGGATCAGGCAAGCACCTGCTCTTCTGTGCCCTAAGGCTTTCTACTAACCTGGGAAGGAATTTGCTGCTGCAGCTCATGCTGGAAAGGTTAGCTGAGAATTCCTTATAGTGGTTAAAATTTGGAATGCTTTTTAAACTGCCCCAGGACACCAGTAAGTGCAGAATTCACTGGGGATGGCAGTGAAGAGAGGAGGAAATCAGGATTCTGAAGCCAGCTCTCTTGTGGCTGGGAGGCAGTTGAGTGGAGTAATAAGAGCATTTTGTGTGTGTGTGTTGGGCTGCATAAGATATAATTCTGGATCTCTTACTCATTACTTTTGTGACTTCTCTAAGACTCAGTTTCCTTATTTGCGAAACAGGGATAAAATGTGCAGTTTCTTCATATGATTTATGTAAGGGTTAATTAACACATGCAAACATGCATAATACCCATAAACACATATAACATGTAAATTTCCTGGCACATAAGTGCTCGATAAATGAGCATTATTGTTACTGCTGTTTTTTCATCCCTAAAACATTTGACTGAGGTTTCATTTGTTCTCAGCCATGATTAGAAATTACTGCCTTTAGCAGATAGGATAGTGATGAAGAGCATTAGTGTTATCATCAAGCAAACGAGGGTCTCTCCCTCTGTATTAGGCCATTTGTGCACTGCTATAAAGAAATACCTGAGGCTGGTCGGGCGCGGTGGCTCAAGCCTGTATTCCCAGCACTTTGGGAGGCCGAGGTGGGTGGATCACAAGGTCAAGAGATCGAGACCATCCTGGTCAACATTGTGAAACCCCGTCTCTGCTAAAAATACAAAAACATTAGCTGGGCATGGTGGTGTGTGCCTGTAATCCCAGCTACTCAGGAGGCTGAGGCAGGAGAATTGCCTGAACCCAGGAGGCGGAGGTTACGGTGAGCCAAGATCGCGGC